ATTATTATTATTATTATTATTATTATTATTATTATTATTATTATTATTATTATTCAGAAATAATATTAGCCAGCTTCACTAACTTCAGTTAAGAAAAAAATGGAGGACTTCTGTAGTAATGTCAAGCAACTAAGATGGGATGATTGTATGGCATAAAACAATTGTGAGGTAATGATGCCATTTGATGTTCAAAATTTAAAATCCTAAACATTTATCCTAAATATCTTATTTATAGCTGTCATTCAATTTGTTAAGGCTAATAAATGAGATTGACTTGGAATATTTCCTACCTTCAATTTCTCCCTCAATTTACAAAGAAAATAATATGTGTTTACTAAAATTTGTTTTCTTCATTCTTGCATTTAGGCACAAATGAACCAGAATGCATCTAGTAAGTTTGTCTGAATTGGTGACTATCAGTGACTTTTTCTTGCATTTATATCAGATTAACTGTCCTTTTTATGAAAATTGATTTGTGTAAACCATGTTTTTGTATATGCAAATGTATATATAATGTGAGTGCTGGATAATTGAGTTTCCTTCTGTATTGAGAATACACCAAGCAGGTTTTTTCCCCGACATGAGTAACTTTAAAAGGATATATCTTTTGCCACTTGCTCAAAATATAGTTATAGGCAGTCCTTGAGTTATGACAGTTCACTTAGCAACAGTTCAAAGTTACAACCCCCCCCCCCCCCCCACAAAAAAAAGTACTTACATCCTGGTCCCACAGTTACATGTATTCCAGCACCATGGTGGTTTTTCACCCTTTTGACTGAACACAGAAATTCTGCAACATACCCCCCTGCGTATTTCCACCCCTTCCTGCCTGCTGTGTCTCCACAGGCACTGGGCCTGCTTTGCTAGACCACAGAATTCCATGTGTTTCTCCCCACACCTCACTGATCGCTCGCTTGCCTTTCAAATACCTCCAGAGGTTAAGGTAGGAATGAAAGAAGAACAGGCTTGGCCACATGGGAGAAAAGCAACCATCTTTTTCTTGGATGCTGGCGAAGCTATATTCCTTTTGTCATTAGATACTAGCCTTCTGTCCCACCACCACCATTAGCTCCACTGGTTTTACATTAGCAGAGTTAATTATGGGGGAAGGAAGGCATACAGTCAAGGGCAGACTGCTCCTTCCTACAGGATTGTGTGAGCACCTCCTTGCACATGCTCCCCTTCTTTTGCATGGAAGTGAAACGTTCATGGACATGTTCCTGCACTAGGACTCTGTGGTCTTCCCCACCCTGAGATACCCCAGGCACACTTAACTGCCCATGCATTCGATTAACAAATGCATTAGGAAGAGCAGAGGTGGGGTTTGTTCATTTAATGTGATTCACTTAACATTACAATGATAATGGGCAGGCTCCATTACAGTTGTAACTTGAGGATTATCTGCAATACCTTAAATACAATATTTGTTAATGAAGTGTCACTGTCATATTAGGTGACATAAAGAATACTTTGGAATATTCTGACACTGGGATATATACATTACGCAATAAATCTTTTAAGTCTAAATCAAATTGAGAACGAGTTTTCTGACGAGTGGGCTATATTTGATAAAAGAATTAGTCTTCATTAGAACAGGAAAGAGAACTGATTTAAAAACCCTATACAATTTAAAGTTATACTCTTACATATTCAAAGGGTAAAAGTTCATTTCCATGTACAGCCAGACTTGACAGGACTGGAATCTATGATCAGATCACCAAGCCATTGCTGAAACGAAAATTCAGATCTTTGTACCCTGAGGGAGAGGTTTTATCATTTTCTTCATTGATATTTGTAGCTGTTATTTTTCCTAATTGATGGGCAAGGGAGGTACTTTTTAATTAAAGCAAGTAGGGAAAGCATGCAGGACATTGCTTCTAAACTTATTTCCAATTCTTTAACAGCAGTGGAAGCCATTTCCCCCCTCTAATTAAGTAGCTTGTTGCATCTATTTGTTTGTTTGTGTGAGTGAGTGTGTGTGTGTGAGAGAGAGAAAGAGAAATTTAGATACTGTATATAGATATACAGTAAATACATATATAACACATATAGAATCTTCAGGAACTAAGCAATGTGCTTTGCATGCATGATGCCTGTGTGTGTGTATGGATGTGTTTAACTTTGATCAGGCAGTGTTTTCTACATGTGTGTTGAAAAGCATGAGGCAGGCTGCATATGCTCTGTTCTGAGTTACATGATCAGGTCGAAAGGGGTTTAATGGAAGAGTCACCAGTATTCCAAGTGATATCCAACTATTTTTCCCCATAAGAGTGCCTGGGAAAAATTCTTCTGGAATACTTTTCTCCATAGCCACTTTTTCAGACTCTTAACTCTAGCCATTTTCAAACTCAAACTTTCCTTTGTTTCTTGAAATAAATTTGATTTCATTTTATTCTAGTTTTGAAGAGTTACCCTACTTGTTGACAATCCTCAGCCCTTTTCATAACCTATGTCCAACTGTCTGTTGAATTAAAAAGAATAGTTAAGAAGGAAAGACATATGCAGCATGATTCACAAATTATTTTTTTTTACAATCCTTTAATACTGCCCTCTGAATCATGTGATGAGGAAAGGTTGAAGGAATGACTTACGGGAAAGGGTTTGGCAAGACTTTAGTTCATTCCCCAACTGCTTCCCTTTCCTCCCCAGGTTAGATCTGACCCAGCATTATTTCCAGCATTCTGTTATGTTGAAAAAAAAATATGGCACAAAGGAAAGGAAAGCTTAATCTAAATTAAATACCCCTTCTGGTCATTTTTAAAAATTTCAAATTACAGAAAGCTACATCTTATGTTCAATTCAAAAGTTTCTATACTATTTATGTGTTGAATTTCCAAGAGGGAAAATATTTCAACATAGTAATTTAAGACAATTCTTTTTTTCTTTTTCCAGATGTTAGTTTCTTTATTGTTAACTGCTAAAACTAAATTTGTTGCCATTTTGATATGCCACCTGGGATATCAAGGAAATTGATTCTTTCTTCAGGAACTGTTGGGGTTACTGGCATCGTAGTTCAGCAATATCTGAAAAATCAGAGGTTTAGATGGTTTTTGTTTGTTTAAGCAAGGGGTGACCACTGATTTAGTACACATCTGAAAGATTGCCCTTATTGTATATAAACCCAGAACCAATCAATTTAGAAGTCAAAACTTTAGTTTAGATTAATATATAGAATAAAACATTCAGTAAAACTGTTGTGTAAAAGTTTTTGCAACCTTTATTTACTTATTGCATTGTTTAATATCCTACTTCTTCCACTGAAGTTTTATACATATGTTGCATTTATGGATAAATTATAAATGATTACATTTAACACTGCAATCAAACAATACCAGATCTGCTGGAAAAAAAACCCAATTCTTTAATTTTCGGGGCTGCCTTTCAACATGACAGATGGTTTTATGGTGATAGATACAATTTTGGTGGCAGGAATCTGATGTTGTCCTTCTTGTTCCTAGAATATCCCCCATATATGATAATTTATATTACATAAGAAACATATCAGAGCAAAATATGACAAAACCAAATAATTTAAATTGTAGTAATATCAATTTTTCTTGAACATTTGAGTGAGTTTTAGTTTCCATTTTTATCAATTGGTATTGAGCTTTTTATAAAAACCTGGCTGATTTTGTTAATATATTATATATTATAATATATTATATTTTAATATATTAAATATATATATTGTTAAAGGTATTTTTAACAAGTATATCTTTTTAAATAGGTGAAGAGTTAACAAAATCAAAGTTTTCTGTTTCATCTAATGAGTAAGTTTCATATTTGGTATGTTTATTTGAAAGGCATTGAATATTATTTTGCAAGATTTTTTCCAGTTTGCAGCATTCACAGCTTGATTTAGCATTACGGTTTAGACATCAGGAAAAATGCTTTTGATTTTTTTTTTAAATCAATCCTTTATTCTGTTTTGTTGTTAATTTGTGCTCAGATTAGAATAAATATCTCTGCCTTGCTTTGGTTTAACTTTTAAAAGCTTTTGTAACCTGAATTTGGTAATTTTACATTGAGTTACATTTTATATTTTTTTAACCTTTGCTTATCATTTCCATACTGAAATATAGGAAGCTGAAATACCAGCCGAATAATAAAAATTATATAATGAAAAATAACTAGCTATGTTACAGTGATTGATCATTCTACTGTGTAAAATATAAGCTTAATACTGTTTAAAATAAATATAATTTTCTTGCTTTTGTAAGATAGCAAACTTTTATTATAAACAATTACAAGCATTGTAATACACTTACATCATATAGAGTCCTATGACAACAATATTATTATTCAGTCATACATATAGTTCTTTATGTATGTCTGTACAAGTAGTCTTTGACTTATGATCACAATTGAGCCCAAAATATTCATTGCTAAACAAAACAATTGTTAAGTGAGTCAGGCCTCACTTGTGCCATGGTTGTTAAGTGAATCATGCAGATGTTAAACGAATCTGGCTCCCTCATTGACTTGTCAAAAGCTCCCTAAGAAGATTGTAAATGACAATCTCATGACCCCAGGACACTGCAACCATTGTAAATACTTGCCAGTTGCCAAGCACCAGAAGTTTGATCACGTGTCTGTAGGGATGCTACATTGGACATAAGTGAAAACTGGGTCATAAATGTCTTTTTTTTAGTGCCATTGTAGCTTTGAATGCTCATTAAACTATTTTTTGTAAATTGAGGATTAGCGGTACTTGGCTCTTTATAGAAATAAATTAGAATTTTGGTGGCATTGCACCCCTGGCTTCATAGTTTTAGGGAAGTGTGGCTTTATCTTTTCTACTCAGTTTTGTTAAGTCTCCATAGCATAGTATCTCTAATTACTTTTGCTTGTTAAACTAATGGAAAAGAGAAACAAATCCTTTTTATGTCGTAATTACTTCCAAATGTGGAGCTTGTTTTGCATTTTTTTTCTATTATGTCATGTGCCTGAGAGCATTTTGTTGCCTTTCTTTTTAGCCAGTAGCTCTGAAAGTAGTTCCTTTCTAAAATTGTTTGAGAATACAAATTTCCATGGCAGGATTGGTAGTTTATTGTATATTTGGAGAAAATAACTCATTCTGGCATTGCTTTACTAAGCAGCTGATTGGGAAAGAGTTCTTCCTTTGGAAATAGAGCTATTTGCAACAGATCAAGATCTCTAACAGATTTGGACATGTTTCTTGTCCTGTTTATTAGAGATCGTCTGAACAATTTTGCCTCCTCTTCTGCATGACAAAATCACATTTATAATCCAGAATAATGACTTATCTTGATCTTAGTACTATGCCTCTGTTGATTCATCCTAAGCTTTTTTTTTTGTATCTTTGTCACATCAATGGTTCATATTCCATTTATGTTCTATCACAAAGCCCAGATCCCTTTTTTTTGCATGTAGTGCTTCCCATATTCCTATACTTGTGTTTTCAACTTCTGTAAACTTTTTTCAATGAAGGACTTTGCATTTCACTCTTTGACTCTAAATTCATTTTGTTGGTTTATGCCCACTGTTCCAATATGCTGAGATCTTCTTGAAAATTGATATTGTTTAAAAAACGTTTGTTGTCCATCTATCTTGTGAGCCTGCAACCTTCATCTAAGCCTTTTAAAAATAGGTTGAACAGTATAGGACCTAGAACTAAGACCAACACTTCCAACTTAAACACTGAGTATGGGTGGTTGTTTTTTTACCATTTTTCAGGTAGTTTTGTGTCCAACTAAAGATAGCATATTTTGCTAATGATTTCTTGAAATTAAGGTACACTGTGATTTGTTCTTGATACACTGATGGGGTTCCTTCTAACCAATCTTTTCTAAATATATACAAACTAGCTACTGAATCGTCCCTGCCAAAATTTTGCCGGTTATCAGTGTTTTACTGACCAGTCCATAGTTGCAGTTCCTGCTTTTGTTTCATTCTGTCTCCCCCTCATTTTTTAAAGACCCAATTTGTCCTTCTCCATTCTTCTGGCACAATGCTTGCCTTCTGCTGTGATCTTTCAATTATAGAAGCAACAAAAAAGGCTCATTTACCTCAGTCAGAAAGAGATTTTAACCTCTTTAAACATTCTTAGGTATAACTGGTCTGATCTTGGCAACTTAAAATTGTTCATGGTAGCCAAGTAGCTTATTTTCTCTTTATTTACTTACTCCTTGTGTCAGTTGTTCTGCTTAGATCCATTTGAACTCAGTTCTCTGTGAAGAAGACTGAAGCCAAATAGTAGCTGAGGAACTCTACTTTCTCCCTACTCCTTTGCTGTCCTACCATGTTCTCCAAACATCAGGTCCAACCTTTCCTGTTCATTCTTACTTCTGTGGACAGAGGTAAATGAGCCTTTTTTGTTGCTTTTATCTTCTCTGGCAAGCCCAAATTCCCAAAATTCTTTTGGGCATTCTACTCATATTAATTACATGCTAGTATACTTCTTGATGATTGCAATCAGTCTTTCATTTCCTGTGCGTGTTCCATTTAACTCTTAACTCGATTAAAAATAAAAAATCTCTAAGCACCCATAATGGTTTCTTAAGTGTTTCTTCTCATTGGAATGATATGCTTCCATATCTTTTTTTAAGAGCAGCATGACCAGCCCTTGGGCCAAGTGCGGCCCTAGTAATGTGGCCCCACAGAATCATAAACTGCTAACATTATTCTGTGATTTATATGCATTAACTATATTATATATTTTATATGACGTTGAAAACAATTTCTCTTCACTCTGTGTGGCCCAGGTAAGCCAAAAGGTTGGACACCTGTGTTTTAGACCATTTCCCAGTTCTTTGGTTTCCCTTATATTGAGGATTTCTCTAGCTGAGAATCTTCCTAGTAATTTATTGAAATGGAATCACCTGAAATCTAGTGCAGAGGTAAAATTATGTCCCAGTTGTTCTTCCTGTGGTATCTAACTTCATGATTATATCATTACTTCTTCCAAAATTTTGCATTAATTCTATTTCTTCAGATGGTTCTTCTCTATAATTAGGTTCATATTTTTTATTTTATTAAATTTAAAGAACTATCTTGCAATTCAAGCCAGCTATAGAAGTAAAAGAGCCAGTCAATAAGTAGTCAAGAAACAACAGCAATAATCATTCAGCAACTTCCCTCTTCCTTTGCTCTTCCTCTCTTTGTTCACTCAGTCAGCCTAATGGTTTCACCTTGGAAATAGGTCTGATTCGTAATAGTTCTCAAATATATTGTTCTCATTTATGTTCTCAAAATAAATGCTAAATCAGAAACTTTCAGAAACTTTTACAAGTTTAACAGTGCTAATTGGGATGGGGAATTCTGTCACTAAGTGACATGGTCCTAAAGCATAATGTCACATAGCCACGCTGACTTACAACAGCAGTTGTGGTTGTTAAGCAAATCCCACGCAGTCATTAAGTGTGATGTCTTGTGGTTTCCATTTGTGGACTTCTGCTAGCTTCCCTCATTGACTTCACTTGTGTGAAGTTTCATTGGAAGGAAATATGTATTTACTGGTTGGATGTATCCTTTTTCTCTGCAAACTATTCTGCAGAAAGAGTTGCTTATTTATATTTTTGTTTAAAAACTAAAAATACTGGGGCACTCAGCAGAAACTGTCTTACTTTTTGGAGGGAATGAACCTGCATATCCACTAGTAAAATCAAAGGCCATCAAAGGATGGAGTGTTTAGATCAGATTGTGCTTAACTGTAGCTGTGAAGACTTACTAGGAACATGTCCTATTGTTTTCTCTGCATTTGCTTGTATATTTATACTAGTTTTATATTTTTAATATGGTCAGATGACTAAAGTTTGTGTGTATAAGTATGTGTGTATAATTTTGATTTTTTTAAAAGCTCTACTTTCTTCTTCATGCATTATGTTAAATAAGGACCTGTCCTGAACAGTCAAGATTTTTATTCTGCAAAGCTCAATATATGAGAAGGACCATCCTTTGATTCACAATCTGCAATAATAATAGGCAGATCATAGCCACAATTAAAACCTTCAGAGTAAGCACAGTGAATTGTCTTGTCCTGATGCAATCCCAGTTAGTGGCTGTCCCAGTTAGAGAACCAGACCAATAAAAATCTCTAAGATTCCTATTCTTACATTTTTGTTTTCTGGAAGGGAAAATCAAAGGTATGTTTATGCAAGATTATTTATGCCAAAATATTTTGGAAATCAATAGTACATGACCTACTTTATTGTCCATTGTATTTAAACTGTCATTAAGACTTAATTAGATCTCTTAACAGCCAGACATAGGAAAGCAGATCCCTATTTTCTTCTTCCTCTCTTGGCAGTTACCTTAGATATGATTTTCAGAAGAAGCTAACTTCTTCTCAAAACTCTTCGCTGTTCATCACAAAATAATTTGGTTTTCCCTATTTAGAATCCTATCTAATTTCAGGGGAGTATTTTAAAACAGTATTGATAACAATTAGTTATAGTTAACAAGTTTATCTTCATTTATTGATGCTTATCTTCCAAGAGGCACCATATAAGAAGCTGTTAATCCTACAGGGCAGATCAGATCAAGAAACAGATGCTGCATAGACCTAAAACAAATGGTTTATATGAATTGCATTTAATTAAAATTTTAAGTATTTTATTGATTTTGTTTTTACATAGTAAGTTGTTTAAGAATCTTAGCAATTCAGTAAATTATTTCAGTATATTTTGAATTTGCTTAAATTATAATTTTATAATGTTCAATTTTATTTTTATTCTAATTGCCTTAAAACGGTACTCAGTTGTACTTACCGTAATATTAACTAGCTAACTGAGAATACATTTCTGTAGTTGTTAATGAATTTGTGCACTGTCAACTATAATTATACACCTTGCTGTAGTAAGATGACCTAGGGCAGACAATTTTGCATCACCCAGTTGCTTTCAGATACCAACCCTGATCAATATAACACATTATCAAGTTTTGTGCAGTAGTACTCAAAATTTGTCTGATAAATTACCTGTTCTCAGGCCTCTATAAATTAAATTTACTGAACATTTAGTTCTGCCACATTACAGTGTCTTATAAGTTGATATTGCTTTCCACAAAATATCTGTTGCTTCCCTATACCCATCTAAAGCTTCTAACCCTTCTTCTAGATTCTGTTAGATTCTTGCTTTAAATATTTAATCAAGGTTTCTATTTTATTTTATTTTTACTCTTGATATATGTTTTTGATTCTATATGTTTTTTTAATGATTATATCCCACTGTCTTTATGCTGGCCCATGATTGTGATAACAATTTGATTGATTGGTTGATTGATTGTAGTAAGATACATTTTATACATATGTATAGTTTGAATTTATTTTCTGATGTCTTGTCCATTAGGAAAAGCAACAATGACCTCTTGGCATGGGATCCACTCTTTAGAAATTCTGGTGATTCATCTTCCCTGGCCTCAACAATGTCATCGTCTTCATCTGGTAACATTTTAATCAATGAAAAATTGAAATTATGCTTGCTTTTTTAATAAACTATTATACTCTACATGTGCTATGTAAAAATATTATAAAATATACAATTGCAGTCATTCAAATCTGTACTTTTTCATGATATGATAGTTATTTAGAAGAGTAAGATAACTGTAGGAATCTTTTTACACTTTATAACATCTAAACATGCTATTTTCAAAGCTATCTTTTTGATAAAAGCTCTTGCATATGCCATAATGCTATCAGGCACTATTTCGGATGCATAATAAATTTCGTGAATTGTTATTTATTTAGCATATAGCATGCATTGTCAGGGATAGAATAGAACAACTTGGTATGGCCAACCGGAGGGGAGAACCAAGCTGGTGGGTGAGCGAGTGGATGGGCAGAGCACAGAGCAGCAGCTGCGGGCTCCCCCTTTTCACACTACCTACTGCTGCCACTGTGCTGAGTTCCGTGCCATTAAGCAGTAGGCAAGGCAGATGGTGGGGAAGCAATGCTGGGCAGGCACATCCCATGTTCACATCCACTGCTACCAAACTGCCCAAACACCACTATCACTGCTGAACAGCCCGCAGCAGTGGCAGGGTGTGTGAAAATGGAATGTGTCCAGCCACCCCTCCACCCGCCACCCGCCCTGCCCAGCACACTGCTGAATGGTACAAAAACTGCTACCCCACAAACAGCCTGGTGTGAAAATGGGAAGTCCCTGGCCACCATCACCACCACTCTACACTCTATCCTCTTGGCTATTTCCTCTAGCTACTTGCAATGAGTTGTCCCTGCAGCGAATTGGCTGTGTTGAGTTATCCTGCAATGACTTGGTGGTGCCAGAGGCAACTTGGCATGGTGAGCAGGCCATGCAGAGCTAGTCATGTTAACTTGTCCTAGACCCATCAAAGAAATCTACAGTCCTGACAGCCTAAATTGCTAGTTCTTTATGTTTGGCACTTCCATGCCTATCTTTGGTGCACTGCAGGAACGAACTAGCTTACACCAGCTGACTAGCGGCACTCAGATTGCTGTCTCTTCCAAGTTTCTCTGCAAGTCGCATCTCACATCAGGTTGCGTTGCCTCGCATCTGGCTTGGTCCCATATCAGCTTCTACTCTTTCGCACATACAAACACAGCTTGGGTTTTCCCACTGCAGTGGTACCAATGTATCTACTCGTAATATTGCATGCTTTCAAACTCCTTGGTAAGCAAGAGCTAGGAATCAAGCAACTAGAGCTCACTTATGGAGCTGGGATTTGAACCACATGAGTGCAGATCATTTCTAGCCAACAGTTCCAGCATCATTAAGCCACTGCACCACTACATTGCCTGTGCTAATTGTTAAAGTTAATAGTGAAATATTCATTAAACAAGTGAACAATCCCCATATTAAAGGAATATTTTCTACTAGTTTCAACAACAAAATATTTTCTATATTTTGAAACTCAGTAATTTAACTGATTAGTAACTATTTCTACAATCTTATTACAATGTGATTCATTAAAACTCATTATTGATGCTTTGAATATACAATAGCTATAAACAAGATAATGGGAATTTTTCACAGTTCATAAGCTATGGATAATAATTTACAGTTATATAATTCCAGTAGCGTGGTACCCATGGCTGAACTATTTTTAGTTGAGCTGTTTCCTGACTCTTAAAATTAATCTTAGATGTAAATATTTTGGAACAATTTGCTGTTATTTACTAATTAATTGTACATACGCATTAATATTCTGTAATTGCCTTCCAGGAAGACCAACAACACCTCTTTCAGTAGGAACATTAGTACCTCCCCCAAGACCAGCTTCTAGACCAAAGTTGACTTCAGGGAAACTCAGTGGAATTAATGAAATTGTAGGTTCATTACATCTTAACCCTAATGATATTTACTTCTCTGATCATAGCATTGTTAGATAGCAAGATAATGTTTTTGAATTTTGTTTGTTAGCCAAGACCATTCAGCCCTCCTTTGACCTCCAATTCCAGTCCACCTCCATCAGCCCCTTTGGCACGAGCAGAGAGTTCTTCCTCATTGTCCTCTAATTCACTAAGTGCAACAAATACACCCACAGTTGGTAAGTTATAGTCTGCCATGGTAACATTCACATCTTTTTTAATTTCTGGAAAAAAACATTATTATTTACAGAAATGTGTATGCCACTCAATTTCATTGTCTCAAGGTGGTTTATAAATGTATAACATAGCATCCAAGCAGTTGCACATTCACCCAATACAATCAATATCTCATAAATCAAAAACTATCACCAGAATTAAAATAAAATAAAAAAGAGGCAATCCCTAATGCCTAAATGCCTGCTGTGATGTGCTTGCTTTTTTCAGTTTTCCAAAACAATAATTGCAGGACCTAAAACCCAACCAGAATGATTTCAGGCAGTGCTATTTTTCTGTCTCCACCTAACTAGATCTCAGTAATACATACCATACCATCACTAAATTATAAACACCCTTATTGTAGATGGACATGGTATTTTTCAGGAGAAGCTAGATTCCAAAGCTCCCAACAATTCAATCACTTGGACTCACAGTAGGTGAGACTTGCAACATATATAATGGTAGAAGTTCCACATTTCATTTGTTTCATTTCATTTTTACACTGTTGTGAGGGGAAAATATTTTTATAATTTCTCCGCTTATTATGATCTCATCTTATATGATTTTGGAATTGATTCTAAGCTCTTTTTCATAATTGCAGATACCTGTGTTTCCCTGAAAATAAGACCTTGTCTTACACGTTTTTTGCCACTAAAAAGCATTAGGTCTTATTTTTTGGGGGGGGGTGTCCACTGACTCACCTCACTTGTGCGCGTCGCCCCTGGCCTCCTTTTCACTGTCAGAGGCCCTCAGGAACTTTTTGACTTTAGATAGTTGCAGATAGATCCGGAGTTCTGTTATCAGCTACAGAGACCTCCAAGAAAGGGCTTTAGAAAAGGCCTCTGAGGCTGATAACAGAGCTCCGGATCAATCCAGAGCTCTGTTATCAGCTACAGAGGCCTTCAGGAAAGCCTTGCTGGCTGCAGAAGAAATGGGCTGAGGTGTGCAAGGCCTGGCTGTAACTATCTGAAGATAAGTAGTAGGGCAGCTCTACTCCACCCTAGCTTAATTTTTACCCGTGTACCTGGGAGTGGATGAGGTCTTAATTAGGGCTTATATTGTGTGCACATGTAAAAATCAAGGTAGGCCTTACTTTCTGAGTAGATCATATTTTTGGGGAAACGGTAATAACTAACTCTTACTTTGATATGACATTTAAAAATATTTTTGCATTGAATTTCCATTGATTAGTGCAGTATTTTGAATTCTGCATCACCTTATACATAATATTTAAAAACAAAGGTCATGAAAAACGTAACCGTAGAATTAACAACTTTAAAGTTAACATTGTTTAATTGAAGCCTACAATATTATATATTCTAGGAACTTCACGTGGTCCTAGCCCTGTCAGCCTAGGAAGTCAAGATACGTTGCCTGTTGCAATAGCCCTAACTGAATCTGTAAATGCCTACTTCAAAGGAGCAGATCCCACAAAGTTAGTAAAATAGTAATTCATTTTGAATGTCATATTTTGCATTTGAAAAAGCACATAAGGTTTCCTTCTTAGTTTTGAACAAATTTGAAACTTCAATACTTAACTGATATATCCCAATAAATAGTAAATTGTATCTCATTTTTAAACAACTGTTACATTTTGGGAACACATAACTACTGCAGTATTTTCATCTCTTTTACTAGTCTATTTTATAGACGTTTCAGGTTTACTTTTTTTTAAAAAAAATCCATTCTTTCAACAAAACTCCATCAAACGTATTTCATGTATATACTTACTGTGGACTGGACTTTAAGAAAAATGTACATCCTATGGAACTAATCATTCCATTCCCCCAAATTCTGACCAGAACTTACCCTTGTCTTCTACAACTAAGGTAGTATTTGTATGTACTTGGTTGGGATGAATGGGGTGAGTTGGCTGCACCAACGTTTTTCAAACTCGGCAACTTTAAATTGTGAGTTTCAACCAACATGTTGGCTGGGGAATTCTGGAAGATGAAGTCTACAGATCTTAAAGTTTCCAAGTTTCAAGTTTCCCCAAAGGTATAGAATAGCATTTGTATGAATTCTATTTGGAGCATTTCCAAAGATGGTAACTATGCTTTGGATGCTCAGCACTTCCTGAAAATTGCAAAGTTGTTCTGGGCAGGTTTATATGAGGAAAATTAGCTCCCCATTTTGCTTCATCTGAATTCTACAAGATAAGGCAGGCAACTGAGCTCAATAAATTAAAAATGGCAGCTAACATTTGTTTACAGTTTAAATGTATAAATGTACATTTCAATCCAATCATATATTTTATTATGATTCCAATAATTAGCTGTAAAAGTAACTTTTGTCTTTTTACATTTTTCTCTAGATGTATTGTAAAAATAACTGGTGATATGACAGTCTCATTCCCAAGTGGGATTATTAAAGTCTTCACTAGCAATCCATCTCCTGCTGTGCTTTGCTTTAGGGTAAAAAACACAAGCAAACTAGAGCAGATTCTTCCAAATGCGCAACTTGTGTACAGGTTTTGTATCTTTTATTTGTTATAAATCCATACTTTTTATTATCTTTTTATAATTTAATTCTACTTGACTTGGAAGGTATGCGTCTTTCATAAATACCCTTATATTTCTTGCATTTAAGTTTTATAATTTAATTAAAAAATTATTTTATGATTGTGATAATTAAAATTAACTGTTAACTTCATAGAGGTATTTCATTTCAGAAAACTGTTTGAAATAATGTTAATCCAGTTTTCAAGATGGATTTTAAAAAAAATCCATCTATGCTATGCTAAACTATGTTATTGTGTTACGTTATGTTATGATGTTATTGCTGTTTAACTTGAAATACTGTACTTCTAGAGAGGATTACAGAATAAATTGAACATTGTAATGTATGGTCTCAGATTGTAGTTTAAAAATATCTAACATAAGATGAAAAGGAAATAGTGAAAAAACATTATGACCATGTAGATTAGATGCTGTAGATTACTTGCCATGTAGATTAGTTGCTGTAATGTTCTGAAACATTATTGCTTATTGATTCATAGTTTATTTTACAACTTCTTTAAGAAGTGCTTTTGCTCTTACTATTGAAGCTTGATCTGCTCTGTCATTAATGAGGAAATTAGGCATTAAGCAGAACAACTGCTAATGTGTTAGGTTTAAAGGTCCATCAGCTTCCATGTATCATATATGGCCCCATTTTTATTAGAATACATTCTAACAATTACCTTGAAGCCATTCTATAGCTACCAGTTTTATTTAAAGTTGGCTTACTTTCCAGATATCAACATCTGTAATTTTTTTCCAGATAATTCAGGATATTGGCAAGGCACAAGAAAATAACATTTAATCTTTTAGCAACTTTCCCTAAATTTTAGTGTGGTTGAAGCAACTCCATATAAGTATTACCTATCAGGCACACCTGCTATCAATTACAAAAAGAGACATAAATTGGGTGGAACTTTGTTTTAAAATTGCCAGTCATCATAACCATATGGTGTACTAGTAACACATTTTTGTGGGAGCAAATGTCTTTCTCTTTTATCTCCTTGACAACAAGAAAGAGTAATATATGCCTTACTAAGCATATCTATTTTTGAAGCAGCAGATACAAATAGTTGAACATACAGAAGACTATAGGTCTTGTCATTATTTGATTCTGAGTTAAGTTCTGTTGTTCTTTTGTGTCTGCTGATTTTTCTCAGGAAACTTTGATTCAGAAATGAAAAGACATTCCCATGAAAAGGAGGTTCTCCTGTTATTTCACAGCATCAGAGGAGGATGAGGGTCTCTGTCTAATTGGAGATTAAATTATTTTGTCAGGACTGAAATTCCACATGTTTTTTTTCTTCTACCCCTCTCCTTCATTTTAGAGACAGTAGACTTCAATGATACCTACCTTGAGATTGTTTTTATTGCAACTTTGGTATCAACATTCTCACTTTTGTCTTCTTTTTAGATGGATCAGTGTTAGAATCTAACAAGGATCTCTTATGTTTAAAAAAAATTCTAATCATAATTATTTTGCCTAATTTAGGAAGTCTCTGTCTCTTTGCATAAGGGCATCTCAGGAACTGAAATTTCACATTTCAGGAACATAATGATGATGCCTTAATTTAAAACCAAAATCAAACTGCACATAGGGAAAACAATTTATATAGACTAAGGAAACAGAATTATATCTGAAACTATTTTTCAGGAATAAAAAAAATTAAATGAAAATCTAATTTTTAAAAGAAAAAACTTTGATCAATGCAGCTTCCAGAACAAAGAGTTCTTTAGTCCAAAATCTAAGAGATGGGGGTGGTGGTGGTGGTGGTGGTTACAATGATCTCTTTTTTGTTGCAAAATAAGTTCAGTTAAAAATAACATGTGTTTCTGAATTATTTGTGGAAATACCTCTGGAAAAATAATCTACAATCTGAAATGCACCTGAAATGCAACTTGCAGAAATAAATGTAAAATAAGATCTTATATCATTGTTTCCCAAATCTAGGTAAATTACCCAAAATTGAGCGAAAGTGGAGGGTTTTTTGGGTAATGACACCTGGATCCATTATCTGATCAGTACAGTGACACTTAAATTGATTTAAAGTGTTGTGTTTTACCTACGTTATTTAAAAGGAACATTTGATAAACAGTTTTGGATAATGAAGGGAAAAGTTTGGGAGGCACTGGCTTAGATCATTTATCATTTCCAGCAGTTCCACTGTACAATGTCATGACCATTGACTTTAAAGACTTCTTGGTGACAGTCATTTCATCCCAAGTATCAGGAGATGTACATAGGTTTTATACATAGACCAAAACATACTTACAATCCTATAAAGAAAAATATATTATGCTAGAAATTATATTTCTGCCCAAAGTGGTCTTGAAATTTCAAGTAAGACAGTTAACTCTGCTACCATCTGTTTCCTCTCTTTTCTGATATTGAATAGCTTTCTAATCTTGGACATCAGTTAACATACTAGCTTTCCATCTGGCCTGTGGTAAGGTCTCTGTATAAATAAATTGTGTCACTCTCTGCATTTATTGCTTTGCTTTTAATGATGAAAGATAGAAATATCTTCTGGTAGTTTCAAGAAACCAACATTTTTTTTCATTTCTAAGGCTTCTACAACATAAAAGAGAACATTATTATCTATAGCCATGGATTTTCTCAATCTTAGTAACACAGGTGCATGTTCTCAACCATGTATTTTTATCATGCTATAGTTGGTGCACTCTGAATAGAGAGGGCTCTATTGGTCCGAAAAACATGAAGAGAATGACAGGGTTACCTTCTACATTGCATAATGAAGCTTTTTTTTTTCCCAACAAAATCCTTAGCTTTGGAAGATTCCTGATATAGGTTCTATATAGGTGCACACACATTTTCAGTACATGAATGCAACAACATGGAAATAAGTCTCATATGGTCCTTAATACTGCAGTCCCTATTAAAATGAGATATTGCATAGAAGAATATAGAAATAATTTAATGCCACAAACATTTCACAGCAATTGGAAATGATTATTTATAGTTTTTATTGCCATTAATTGAAAATTATCATATAATACTTAAATGTGTTCTCAAATATTAAAAATGATTTGCATCTACTATATTATGATTATTCTCATATTGGAGAACAAATACTGGAGTGGAGAAAGATTACAAGCCACATGGTGGATTCATGGTAGAAAGAACATTGAAATGCAGACTGTCAAATGTGTACGTAGCTTGGTCTTCAAATCAGTACACTATAAAAGTTCTTAATTTTATCTTAAAACAAATAGAAAAACTTAAGTTCTACCTCAGAAAAATATGCATATTGTAAAGGCATAGAGTAGAGCTACAGTTGATATTCGAATACACATAATAACTTGGATAGAAAAAAAATTGGAAAGGAAAAAAGGAAAAGAGGTCAGCAGTTAGTTTTTACAGCATCTTTTTGTGTTAGTATAAAAAGTTATACATCTTTAAATTATGATATTAAACAGAATTCTGCTGTATGCTATAAGCAAATTACATGCTTTGTGCATGCAGGGTTGGGTGGTAAAATGTGTTCTTCATCTTTTGAAGTATTGTCAATGTGTAAGAAAGGTTTAAATATATGTTTTCATGCCTCCATTTTGTTCGCAGTGATCCATCACAAAGTGATTCCAGTACAAGGGATTTTTGGATGGATATGCAAGCTGTCACAGTCTACCTCAAAAAGCTATCTGAGCAGAATCCTTCTGCTTCTTATTACAATGTAGAAGTTCTGAAGTATCAGGTAATTTTTGTATTTTGGTGTTGTGAGTTTAAGATCTTAACAAGGCTAGATTATATTGTTTGCTGGCATGAATTACCACCCTATCTCTCTTACTATGTATGTGAAAAGAATATATATTTACACAGATTGCTGTGTGCCTTACAGAAATAAGCCTATTCAAAAACAGCATAGCAAATTAACATAGAGTCTGCATTTTTAAATTTACTTTAAAAACTGAATCAAGCTATTTAACTATCTGGTCAGCTAATCAACCAAAACAAAACTTAACCAGCACAGAAAGTTAAAAAATCTTATTGAAGATTCCTATGTTTGTTGATTTTGGAAAAGAGTACCTCACTGCATGTTCTCTTTTATGTTGGGCTTCTGTGTGTAACCATCTTAGTAGCCTTAGGATTCTGTCATTAGGAGCAAGCAGCCAGAAGTCAGCTGATGAGCTATCCAGTACACTGATGAGTTATCATCCAAAGCTGTCATCACCACCATATATCACATCATGTCTGATACTTTTGGAATATTCTTTTTGCTCACTTTACCTTCTGCTTCAGGTATTCAGGTTGTGCTTGGGTGCAGGTTCATTGTTGCTAATCAGTAGCATGAATTATTTTATGTTGCAAGAAGTAGCAAGAATGATTGGATGTTTCCTGAGCAGATACTTAGGAATCCCTAACATCAAAATGTTTTAGTGTCCTTGTTCCTGCTGATTTGCACTTGCAAGCAGCATGGTAAGGTCTTCAAAATCCTTAAGTACCTTTATACTACACTGCCTTCTGGTCTGCAGCAAACCTTCATTAGTGGTAGTAAGTTATTTGCTGATTCCTCCAAGTTCCCAACATTGGCAGCTGTGGACTCAGATTTACTAAGGAATCTGTCTCTTTTCTTCCTGTTACTCTCAGCCCCTAGGCTGTTAACAAAACAGAATGGGCTGACATGGCAAAAAGTCAGCATCATGCCCTTTCTGCTTATGCTAGAGGGAGTGTCAACTCAGCACTAACCTTAAAATGTTCTATATGTCTCAGTCTTTAGACTTCCTTTTTCAGCAGATCTTGCCTTCCCTACATATAATATGTCTTTATATTTCACAGTCATGGTTTGGGAAATAAGATTTCTATACTGTGGAGAAGATGAATGTCCCCTAAACTTCAGGAAAGAACCATAAAATGATTGAATCAGAAAAGGAAGCCTGAGTTTGAAAAAAAAAGCTATAATAGTATTGCTGTCTTGTTTGTATACATAAAATGCTATGTAATTTGGAAGATTTTTATTCCCTAAATAAGAAAATACAGTAATTTTGTACTAATGAGGATATTATCTTTTAATAAAAGAAGGGATGGAATCTCTTTTAGTGAATCTGCACAATACACACTTTTAAAACCACATTCAGAAGCATATTTAAGCAGCTTTTGAAATAGAATATAGGGATATGGTATTGTCTGAAACAGGTAGTCATCCAGATACTAACGAACAACCACTCCAAGCATAGTTGCTTGCTTGATCACAATACCTAATCTAAATTAGCAATAGACTCAATAATAGTTCTCCAATCTGCATTGTAGATTTATTGTATTGTATATTTATATATCCCTAGAAGGTTCCAGCATCCCATATCTATCGATGTTACTTCATTTAATTTTAGCAGGGGTGTATTTACAGTATGGAGCAATTAGCCTAATGGTATGTTGAAAACAAAAGACTAATTAATTAAAAGTCACAAAACAAAGTCTAGTTATAGCACACAACTCAGCATGAAAGATTTGATCCTACCTACACCTTAACATGAAGATGAGTGCACAAAACAGCCCTCCAGCTGACTTCAGTGGTCATGTGGCACACATTATTTTAGGTATTCAGGGCCTTAAAAATAAGCACATTTTGAACTGAGTCTGGAACTGATGAACAACTGCTTAAAAAGAAAGAAAGAAAGATGTTGGATTCTCAGAGTCCGGTTAAAACTTAAGCAATTGTATTTTTCACTAGGTGAATTTTTCAAAGATAGTCCTCCCAACAGTTCACAGTAATAACTGTAGTGCCATGTTTCCCCGAAAATAAGATCTATTCTGAAAATAAGACCTAATTTGATTTTACACATGTGCCCAATATAAGCCCTACCCCTGAAATCAGCCCTAGTTAAGATCCCGCCTACTCCATTGCACCTGATTGCACAAGATGGGGCGAGTCACATAAGTAAAAATCAAGCTAGGGTGGGGATGGGGGGATGGAGCTGCCACATGTGCCCTGTACAAACTTACCTTAGGACAGTTGCAGCCCGGCTCTTTCACACCCTGACACCTGCCTTGCCATGCTGGTCCACTTCCGCGGCCGCTGCCTGCCCACCCTCCCGTCCCGCTCCCGGCTTCCATTTCACTGTCAGGGGCCTTCAGGAAAGGCCTCTACAGCTGAGAAATGAGCCCCAGATTGACGCGTGCAACACCCCCCAGCCTCCGTTTCACTGTCAGAGGCCTTTTTACTCAATTTTTAACAGTTATTCAGAACTATATTCTGAACACTTCAAGAAAAAGCAGAGCTAACAGAATTCTCCCTGTCCAGGCTAGATGATCAGGGGGGAGACATCAACAATAGTTTACAAGTACTGTTGCTGAGAAGATCCAATAGGTTCAACAGAATCAACAAAAGAAGAATCAGGACTCCTCTTTACTAGTTCCTAGTTTAATAATTTTCTAAGCCAGTCAAAGCTATTAGACCCCAAAGAACCATCTTTAAAGCTTAACGCTATTTAACAATTTCCTATTACATTACATAGAGTTAAGTAATAGATTAAATAATTCCAACCTAGGGCATTTAACTATACAATTATAATTAAATAATTACTAATACCAATAATGAAAACATCTCAAAATCTCTATTTTTATGAAATTCACTTTAATAATAATTGGCTTTTTAGAGGCCAAAAGTATATGAAGTGAAAATTGAACTTCGGAAGTCATGAGATTTTTCAGGATTGATCCTAAAAGTTGTTATTTTATTATTTTCAAAGGTATTATCAAACGGTATCCAGTCTACACCTCTGAATCTTGCCACATATTGGAAATGTAATGATAGCACAACTGATGTAAGAGTTGATTACAAATACAATCCAGCATCTATGGCAATGCCAAGTATGTTATCCAATATACAAGTCATCGTACCAGTTGATGGGGGTGTAATAAATATGCAGTCACTTCCACCAGCAAAATGGTAATTTTTTTATGATTGATACTACATTAAATTCATATTAAGATTCTTGTCATGTCTTCTAAAACCATTTGTGAAATACATTGATTATTGGTGCTTGAAGCAGTTCTCATGGAACTGAAGGAGAGAAGTGTTGTGAGACTAATGGGAATTTTATGATGTGGTAGGTATTACAGAAGCTTGGTTGATGCACAAAAAGGCATTTGCTGCAGATCCATTTCTGGGATGTCTAGTTACTGGATTGTGGAATCTTTGGTCTGCTGCTGCTTCTAGTTAATACTGTATCTGTCTGGAATAAGACTTCATCTATTCACAGTATTCTGGTACCACCCTACCTGGTGTGAACCACCCTACCTGGTGTGTAAAACTGAAACATGATTGGAAAGTGGTGGGTATTGGCCTTGTCAGAAATTTATCTTCTGGATTTTAGATCTTGCAGAAGTCTAGGCATGAATGATAGCTCTTTGCACGATGAGATGCACTACTCCAGTGGTATATGGATACAGAATAATATAGACCCGGCCTTGGAAGTGAGGAAGAAGAAATGAGAAAACCAGTAGGAGATGGGGAAAGTTTGAGACTACACAGTCCTGAGAAAAAAGAAGAAGCTTTGACAGATTTTTAAGATTGCTGTCATGATCAAGAAACAGGTGTTTCAGGGATTCCAGTAACTTTTTTTAAATGATTGTAGGACAGAATAGCAGAATATTTGAAAGCCTACCTGAGGCTATTATGAGTTATTTTTGCATGCTTTTTCTCAGGACTGTGTAGTCTTTTGGGAAAGTTCCTCCCCTCTCCCCCTTTAATAAGTTGATAATTCCTTCCTCATTTCCATTCTTCTCAATGAATGAAAGTATCTTTATGTAATACTGAACTGTAAGGACAAGTTGAGATAACTGCTAGTATAGTATCCAACTTATTCAGCAATGGCTCTTTTTAAATTCCTGGATCTTAACATAGGACTGACTTTTGGTAGAGATTTCTATGTTGTTGGTGTTGGAGGCCTATAACTCCTTTGTCATTTGATGACTATAAAGATGATTAAAATTCCATGACACCCATGGGCTTGTCCTAAACAATCTCAGCTCCTGTGTATTGTGTGCACAACACTTGTTTATGATTACTCCAGTGTTGTGTGCCTTTAGAATGAAGCTGCCAGAAAAGATCTTCCACTAGCTTGGGTTGAAATGGTAACGGTATATATCAGCATCCTAGCCTTAACCAGAGATGCTTTGGAAGCCTTGAATTAGTATCTAGAGATTGCAAAGTCCTGGATGGGCCAAAACAACTTTAAATTCCTTTCAAAAATATCTCAGCTCATTGGCTACCCTGGTGATTTCTCTAGAAGGGATCATTGCTGTCTGAAGGAGCAAGTCCACAATTTAGGGATTATCTTAGTCTCGTGGCTCCTATTGACACAACAGATAAAAGCTATGGCCAAAGCATTCCTTATTCAGCTAAGGTGATGCATCAGTCGCAGCCTATTAGAATTGTGAAACCTATACCCATATTACCATCTATATCAATATTGGGCCGCCTTTGACCATACACTGGAAACAATATTAGTGTACAATGCAGCAGTTAGGATATTAGAACTATATTTGTCATATAACACCAGTTATTTGGTGGCCTCATATGCTACCAATTAGTTTCTGAACTTAATTCAGAGGCGTGGTTATTACACATAAAGCCATGAATAGCTTGGTTCCAAGGTTACATTAAGGATTGTCTTTTCCAGTGGGAATATCTAAAATCTGTTTGAGGCTGATATCCGATGCATACTTGCATTATATTTTTAATTACTTGAGTACTTGCCTAAGAGAATAGATGCAGAGTAGCAGTATGGAGAACTGCCAATATATGATTTTTTTTTTCTTATAGGAACTCAGAGCAGATGAAAGCTTTGTGGAAATTAGCTAGTATTTCAGAAAAATCAGAAAATGGCGGTAAGAAATGTTTTAAGTTAACTGTTATAGATTAGAAAACTATCATTAGTATGTTGACAAAAAATAATTTAAAACTAACAGCATATATTCTATATATAGAAATATAAATAATTATTTTTCTCCCCAAATTCTCCCCCATCAACACTATCATATTTTGCGATATTTGATGTATTTATTTAGAAAATTTATACATCAAAACAGACATTGAGCCTTATCTTTTTTTTCACAACAGCATAATTATGAGTATATACTATACCGACTTGCAGAAAAATAAGTTTTGTCAATCTATCTCAATACAAGATAAAATGCAAGAAAAAAATGCAGTAATTCAAATTACTTTCAATTTAGAATGAAACATGTGCTTTGGTTCACTATATTGAAATGAGATCTTCTTAAGCATGTAATAAAGGTGTGTGTAGATCAACCAAATGTCTGTTTTGATCTGAGGTTTATACCAGATTGATCTACGTCTATACAATTGTATTGTATCTTTGTTTGTATGCATTAGCCACAATAAAGAAAGCTTGGTATAATTAGTCTTATATACTTTAAAAGATTCAAAATCAACTACAACTCCAATTAATACATACGATAATAGAAACATGAGATTCAATAGGAAATATATAAAATTACTCCAATCAATTGAATAACCAAGTAATTTAAAAAAAATATTGTAAAACAAAAATATATTTTGGTATAGAAAAATACCTAATTACCAATACTTGCAATATTATCTATTTATAAGAACACTGTGTTAAACATGAGCCGCTGTTATGTTCTGTAATAAAATCAGCTGATTAGTGTTTTGCAGCAATTGTAATGAAGAATTTTGAGGCACTTTCAACATGAAAAGAAATGTTACTGGAGAAATTTTTGTGGATTTTTAAAATGTATTATCAGTCAAAGATCAATTGTATTGTAGTACTTATGCTAATAAGCAGACTTCTTTATTATTTTTCTCTCTCCTCCCCCCTCCCCCCTCTTGAATAGGCTCTGGCTCTCTCAGAGCTAAATTTGACCTTTCTGAAGGACCCAGTAAGCCAGCAACACTTGCAGTGCAATTTATCAGTGAGGGAAGCACCCTTTCTGGAGTAGATGTTGAATTAGTAGGCACTGGCTATCGGCTTTCCCTAATTAAGAAGAGGTTTGCCACTGGTAAGAAGGATAATGTTCTTCTGAAGATAACCTATAGAGCTAATCTGACATTCATTGCTGAGTTAGAATCATAAGTGTAAAACTTTTTGTACTATGTGTTTGCAGTTCCATAATCCCGTTATCAGTTTATTTATCAAATTTATAAGGCTAAAAAGGTGACTCTGGAATGGTGTGGAACAAAGTTGTTAAAATGTGTTCTACTTTGAAAAAAATATGCACGCTATTTTGATTAAAACATGTTTGTATGTGTCTGTGTGTAATATAGGTAGTAAGCACTGTATTTTCTGCCCATTCTTCTGGTTCATTTAACAGTTCAACACCCTGGAAAACTCTCCTCCTATTTGTAAGGGCAACAAATGATAAGTCACACCAGGTTTCCTGGCTGCAACAAAGCAGTTCCCAAGGATTCTTCCATCCTTAGAGCCTGAAAGGAAATGGGAGGATTCATGCAATTCATGAAATCCTAATTTTAGATGGAAGGTCGGGGATCATCACTATGAGGACTGAAGTAAACAGTCCAGGATAGCAAAACATGTGGAAGCCTACTTTAAAAAATTACTTTTCTATTAATGTTTATTGAAATACTAATTGGAACTGTTTATGTCTTTCAGGACGATATATGGCAGATTGCTGAACAGCCTGTTAAGAAAACTAGATTACTTTCCAATGAATAAGAAGTTTATTCATTCTCTTACTATCTTTCCAACACTATTTTAACATGCATTAATTTTTGAAAACACATTGCATTGTTTTTGGAGTTTATACCCAACAAAATGCACTTTTGAAAATAAGTCAGTTTTAAAAATATTCTGTTTTGAAATAGCACTGAAATGAACTCCAACAATATAGAAAATCAGATGCAATACTGGGAAACAAGATACTGAAATACTTAGTAGTAATGTAGCCTCAGAGCCAAATAGCAGTTATGTGTGGTATTTAAAGTGTGTGATGCTTTGTGATACCTTAAACAAAACTATATTTTAACTTTCTATAAATATTATTGAAGTATATTTTTCAATTTTCAATATTGCCATTCCATAAACAAAACAATGGCAAAGTATTTTTTTTGTTTTTACACTTGTATATTCATGTGTCATATCTTATTAGAGATTATCTATAAAAATAACTTTATTTCCATATATCATACATAATTAAATGACCAGTGTTTTATAATAGATAATTTTTAATGTAAAGTGCAATGGTTTTTTTAACTACAATGTACAACAGAGTTATTTACTTCTGCCATTAGGTAACATGATGGGAGTTGTAATTTTAATTAATGCTGTAGATTATTTATTTTTATATGAAATGTGTAATGTTTGTGCCTTTTCAAAGCTGTGCCTGTCAAATGTTTATGTGCTTCTCATTTCTTGTTTTCATTATCTAGATCTTCCTATTAGTAAACTTGAAGGAAGTAATCTTATGCTTACAGAATGGAAGAATCAATTGTGTTCTATCTTCCATGTACCCCCTCAAATTTGCTAGGGAGGCTCTTCAGGACTTCTGGTGCCGATTTGGTGAGGTCATGAGGCATTTAAAGGGGAAAGGAGAAGTCAACCAGCACACTACAATCTCTTTCACTGGAAGATAGGCACAATTGGATATAACTTGGCATTTGGAAATCAAAACAGAAAATAGCCTTTAAAATAACTTCTGTTGGGTTAAATGCAATAAATGCAGCCATTACAAAGGGAACCTTTTAACTTTTGTCAGTTACCATATAGTATCAACATTTAAAGTATCACCAAAGATGTGTAAAATCCTGAAAGTGCATTAAATTTTAAAATAATAAAAAATGCTACACTTCTGAAAAGTGTAGAATTTCCTCTTCTAGCTACAAAAAGCTGGATTTCATATGCTTTCAAACATAGAATGGATTTAAAGTGTTGCTTATGAGCAGCAGTGTTGTTTTAAAGATCTGTTTTCAGTAAAACAAAAATAATTATTGATAATTTCAATGTTTTATGACCACAAATAAAGAAGCAAATAATAGCCCTAACACAAAGTGACCCATTTATGTAAGTTTAATACAAATTCTGTTTTTCGAATGTATCTATATGCCTTTAAAAGATTAAATGCAGAAGTCAAAAGTTATTAGGGCAGGTGAATTAATTATATGATCAACAGCACCAGAGATTAAGTACTTTTTCAAATTCTAGTATCTAACAAAAGCATACATGAAAATCACTAACTCTGGATAATACTCTAATGAATAAAACAATGCGTTAAGATGTCAGTGTTCTATATAGCCACTAAATTTTGATGAATCCTTAGTACACTACAAATACAGTTAGATGTGTTCTCTTCTATTGACATCAAAGTAATGAATACCTAGAATAAATGGAGTATCTTTTCCTACCTTTTGTGAGACCATTAATCTCCTACAAAAAGTGGAGAGAAAATATCAGTGATGTTGTGGGGTGGGGGTGTCAGACACCTGAGATGTGGTCTTATTTTTAAAGATACATGGATCAATTATTTTCTTTTTTTTTGCTTTTAAAATGAAACAAACCTTTGCCATCAGTTCATGTGACAGATATACCTTCAGCAACCCAGCAACATTCATTCTTAAACTGGGATATAAACATCTCTGAGAAAGATACTAGGTTATGACATTGTAATGTATAAGATACTCTGGCTCATTATTGGGATGGGGGGAAATGGCAGCTAATTTTTTTTCCTTAAGAAAAAAAAAAGCCACTTTATTGTTTGATTTTCAACTCTGGCCTCTCAAAATTCTTCAGTTTCACATTTTTAACCAAAAAGGAATCCAATTGTAATTGTTCTCAGACATAAGTACAAATACTGAAAAGAATGAATAATTCATATATTACTAATTGATTATAGAATTGCAGTCAAAAATTAGTTTTTACATAGTTGCCTTGTTTTATAAAAATCTAAGATCCCAAGATCTCATTAGATCCCAAAAATTCACATAGTGAATTTTTATATTGTAGAATAATGTGTTTTGGTGGAATTTTTAACGGGATTTTAGATGGTACAGACTTTTAATGGATTCTTAATCGTAATCTGCTAATGCAATCAACTATCTGAACAGTTGAATAACTTTTAAAAGTCAGTTTGTTTTGTTTTCCATTTTAATCAAGTATTCTTTCTAAATTAGTGCTAACTTTCAGCACCTTCTAGCCTTACTACCAAATGTTCTCACATATTCATAAAGGCTGCAGGTTATAATTTTGAAGCCATGCAATTTTATATATAATTTTTTAAAAATACTGTATCTAAATATAGATATAGATGTGTATAAATAAAACCTGTCTGGTGGAAATTTCATGTAGCAAGCTGGATCTTGCTTGTTTATAAAGATATCGCCTTTGTAGCTGCCTCTTGGGAGAATTTGTAAACTCAAATCTGAAAGGTCTGCAGGTTCTACAAACTGTAAATTAGAGCAATATAAATCTTAGAGAAATTGTAAATACATCTGATCTTTTACAAAAATGTTTTCAAAATTGCACCTATAATAAACATGTAATATATAACAACCTGATTGTTGCTGTTTATATGATTTCATTACATTATGCTGAAGCATTCCATGGACAGTCTTCAGATAAAATATAATTTGATTCTGCTTCACCCTTAGAATGTGTTCCTTTTCTACATATTTTTAGCACTATTATGGCTATATGTGAATGAGCTTACTACTACCAGGCAACATCAGTGCTCACAGTCTTCTTTTCCAGTTTACTCGTATCAGAATGTAAGAAAAAATAGTCTGTTGCTGTTTCCTTTTAGTTTTTTGTTGAATAATAAAAGTCCTCTCATCCTCATTATATACAGAAAAAGAAATGGCTAAACTCCCACCACTTTTTTTTAACGTTTTTGTATTTCTCTGTGATTTGGGAAAACAATTGGGTGTGTAGCTATGAAGATAATGTAGTACAATATACATTTTAAAATGTAAAGTAATTACTGTTAATTCCCCAATAGTTTTTTCCTCCACTGTAACACTCACTGTAATCCAATAGTGTACAATCCATGAAGTTGATATGAAAGTACAGTATGGGTGCAGTTTTGCAATCACTAACCTTTCTCCAGCTACTGAAGCTATAAATTCATATTGCTGTGTTGGCTGGATTATATGAAGTTCTGGTGAACATGTAGAAAGTGTATGAGTGAATTGAGCACAAGCATGGGAAGAATTGCTTCCAGTAAAAAAATAGATCATTCACAGTTCAAAATTAAATTTGCTGCAGTTTGCCAAAAACTAGAGCAGAATGAAAAAAGTCCCAAAACAATTTTCTTGAGAATGATTGGGGGGACAGTAGTAGTTCTGAAAACCTCCATCAGAAAATGCTCTAGACTTTCTTAGTGCTAAATATTTTCTGTATGTACAGCTCTGTCATATTAGAAAAGTATGTATTATTTGCCCGATATAAAAGTTACATAATCAGTGCTGAAGAATTGGAGACCTGCAGTGATTAGACAGACATCTGCAGGTATTAGCATCTTCCAAATGAATTGTTTAAATATTTATTAAATATATGCCTGGTCTTCCTATCCAAACTCAAAATATTTCACTCTTATTTTTCAAAGCACAATTCTGATTTATGTAAACCAATTTTTTTTCCCCTTGCACACAACTTTAGAATTTTCACCTGCAGCTAAATGATTTTAAGCATAACAAAAACCCCTAAATTAGGCATCAGTTCTATGCAGAGAAGCAATTTCATGGGACCCACTTAGGCAACAAACAAGACATTCCTCTTATAATGAACTTTCATTGGGATTTCCTCCTGCTGAGATTCCTCAGCTATAGTTACAATGATATTCCTGCCTCAATTACAACTGACATTTATAGGTATGTTATCTGTCATATCCACATGTAATATTTCTAAAATGTCTGAAGAAACCAATACTGTATCCTACAATTATCCAAGTTGGTGTAAAAGCTTTAAGCATTTCTGAGGAAGAAAAAAGTTGAAAGTATTTTTTGTATTCTGTTACATAATCCTTTCCTGCTGCACTGGACATACTGAACGTTTTTAGCATCCCCTCGTCTCCCACTCCACCCCCCCTCCCCGCAAAAAAATATCGAAAAATATGAAAGCTGTTTCTGAGGGAAGTGGTGCACCTTGTTAAAAGTTTTCTCCTGGGCATGCAGTTGCTAGTTTGCACCTGCAAACTCCACTGCTGCACGTCACACTTTAAAATGCCGCCTTCCTCCCCATCCGAAGAAGAGCGGGGCGGGGGGAGAAGAGGACGGTTTCTATCATTTCCGCGGCTCCCTCTCGGCACCGCCTGTTTGGGAAGGAGCTTCACCCCAGAGGGCGCGCGCGATTTGCTTTCCCGGCGCGGCCTCTGGGACTCGACTGGGGGAAAGGATTCTGTGGCGGCTGCGGAGGAAGGACCCAAGTGGGAAGGAAAACCTCGGGAGCTTCGTGGCTCAAGGTTATTCCGGGCGTCAGCAAACCGGCACTTTCGGCCGGAGGAAAGCATCCAGCTTCCCGGGGCCCCCCGACGCAGAGACCGTCGAGAAAGGAGAAGTGTCTCTCCGGTGTAAGGTAGTAGTAACCAGGCTTCTAGTTCCATCCTTGGGGAGCCTCCTCTCCGGTGAAGGGAGGGTGGGAGAAACGAACGGTTGGGCTTTTGCAGGCAAGAATGGCGGCTAGTGCGGAGCAGCTTTTTCACCCCCTCGGATACTGGGAATCCCGTTCGGGCTTGCTCTCAGTATTTTTTGGAGAACGAGGCCGAAGCTGTCGCCAACGTCGGCGTAACTCCTTTATTGCGGCTTCTTCGCGCTGCCGCCACCCTTTTCTCAACGTCGCTTGCAGCCACAAAAAGCTGGTGGAGTTGGGTTGGGTGGGGGGTGGGGTGGGGTTTACTTTGAAAGGTGAGGAGCTTATACTCCGTACGTGCAACTCAGTCTTCAAACAGGTTACTGCGTTTGCACTCGAACTCTTTGTCCTTAGCCAACACAGCCCTTGGGCATGCTGAATGGAGAGAGGAGAGGGGGGGGGGAGGAAAATTGAGGTTTTGGCCCAACACACTGGAGAGCATCAGTAAGAGCGAGCAGCTGACTTGTCAGTGTGATGTTTTAGCTATAGGGTTGGTGGGTTGAACGCTAGAAATGGGGAATGCTTTTTTCACTGTGTTGTGGAGATGCCCTAGTTCACAAGTGGTATACCAGTGAGGAAAAATTCCCACCTCAAAACATACAGTATCCCATTTTGCAGATCATGTTCCCTGCAAATAAATGTTCATGTTGAAATGGTGATCCAATCATTCCAGAATGCTGTGGTATCTCTTATCCTATGCCTTTGGACTACTTCTACCTGCCAGTCGTGTGTGTACGTATTTATGTTTTGTTGCTTCCAGTGGTGTTTTTGGCACAAGGCTACCTTTCTTACTCAGAGGCTAGATCTCCTGTTGTGACATTGCTCTTTATACATCTCATGAAATGGATTCCAAGCTTTCAGAACTAAGTGAATAGAGTAGATAAAACATAGAGTACTGTAAGATGCCTCATTTTATTCCAAAAAGCTGATATGACTATCCTAAAATGATTCAAAAGAGTTGTTTCCAAATATTTCTACCTGATCAATTTAGCCATGATTAATTAAAATAATCCAGTTTTATAAGTCTCCAGGACACACTTGAACTGTAAAGACTTATGTATATAAATACATTAATGCTAAATTCACATGGTATAATACAGTGGTCCCCAACCTTTTTTGTACCAGGGACCAGTTTCACGCAGAAACACTTTTTCAAGGACCGGGTAGGGGCGTGAAGGTTCCAATAACAGTAAATAAATAAGCGATGAACCCGTAACTTACCCTTTCCAAAAAAACCTCTCCAGTGAACTCTGTTTCTGGCTCATTTTGCGAGGGCTAGCTTGCATCGCTGATGCAGGATAAATATGCGCCAAAGAGTCAAGCGTGGAAGTTAGGCGAGGGCGGAAGTGGTTGTCTTTCAAAATAAGACACCCGGAAGCAAAAACATATTTTTATATATATTTTAATCACGATTATTCATTCTTTGTGGCCCGGTACAAAATGATCCACGGACCGGTCCCGGTCCGGGGCCTGGTGACTGGGGACCCCTGGTATAATAGACTAAAATGTGATTGGTGTTAAGTGTGTCCTACAAGCATAGATTGACACTCCTGATATTCTTACCATCATAATGAGGTAGTGGTACATAAAAAAATATCTGGATAGAAAAAGCCATGCAGTAATTTTACAAAAAAAATCTGCTGACAGGAATTTGCTCTTAAGTAACTTCTTTTTGCTGACTTAGCATAAAACAAATATATTTTGTATTAAGACTAGCTAAAAATAGCTTCAGATATCAAAGGGAAAGAATGGCATATGCTCGTGCACTATTTCTTAAGAATAAAATTACTGCTTGCTACAATTGTTTGTCCCCATTTTCAGCCTCTGCTATTAAATAACTACCTCTGCTATATATGACATTTGCATAGTGGCTGTTAGCGTCTTCATCTTATTGATAGTTCCCTGATACAGGCAGATAGTTTGCTTATGACAATACAATTCTATAGCCTAACTTACTATGTATTTTGAAAACCTACACATTCTGTTCTACTTTATTTGAGGATAGAAATGTGTAGTTCCCTTTTGTCATTTAAATCTTTTTCTACTTGAGGTGAAATAAAAATCACTTTTCAAAACTTAATGTTGCAGAGTATTGCATACATTCTTCGGCTCACATCATTTTAATATTTCATAGAATTTAAACAAACTGATATCCTTTGAGTGCAATTACAAT